AGGTGAATCCTAAAGATATCTAGGAGGTCCAATGAGCATTTCTTGGTGGTTGATCCCAAGAAGAAGAGGAGTGCTAGAGAGAGGCTTTCAAGAAGACAATCAGGTTTTTCACTTCAGCATCTCTATGGCCAGTTGTGCCATTCAAATGAAGGAGGGAACACTAGGAGGATCAGGTTTATTGGGGTGTGGGTAAGGAGAAAAGGTGAGTTCAGTTTTGAATAGGTTGAGTTTGATGTTTCATTGGACAGATATTTAGGAGCATCATTAGGAATAGAGATAAATATTTGAGTGTCATCAGCATGGAACTGAGTAAGATCATCCAGGGAGATTGTGTAGAATAAGGATGAGCTAGGATCCTAAAGACACTAATGCTTAGGAGATGAGCAGAGAGAGAAAAGAACCTGTGAAGAAGGCTCATGAGTTGCCAGAGAAGTACAGTATCAACAGAAATAGATAAGTATCAAGTCACAGAGGCCAAGAAAAGGTGATGTTTCAGGAAGTAGGAACCAGAGATCAAAACATACTATAAAAGTACAATGATTAAAATACAGTGGTGTTGGCTCAGGAATAAACAAATTATAAAACAGAAGAGAGTCCAGAAACAAATCCATGTATATATAAATCTTACTATATAGGATGAGGGCGACTCTTCAAAGCTAATAACTTGAGACAAATCCCTATCCAATTAGAGGGAGGAATATTAAATTAGTTCCTACCACACATCCTCCATAAAGATAAATTCCAAATAAATTAAAATCTTATGTAAAAGTACTATACACAAAGAATAAATAATGACATACCAGGAAAAATGTTTGTGTGTGTGTATATATGCATATATATCCCACAGTCACTTCATAAGTAAGTCCTCCCGGAAACTAAACACATAATACCTTTCATCTCCCAGATCTCCTCCTGGACAAACATCCCTGTTCAGCCTACTTCNTCAGATCTCCTGGACAGACATCCCTGTTCAGCCTACTTCTCTGCCAGCCTTCACTCCCGTCTGTGGAAAGCCAGGTTGTTCAAGAATGGGATATCAGAATGAGTTATCCCCTCCCATTTCTCAAAAGTTCTTCACTTTTGGGTAGTGAAACTGTGTTGGGGTGGTTGAAAGATCCACAATGAGAGGGCAAGTGTTATCAGGCAAGTGTAGCAGGCCCTGGTTATCATAAGAGCCCAGAGCCGCTAGTGGTGAGATAGTTGGAATGGTTTTAGCTCTCCCTTCCAATCTCCAGCCTTCTTGAGACCTATCACTGAGTTCTTCAGCGTCAGCCTCTATCTAGCAGTTTCCCTGGCAGGGTCATGCCCCTGGCTAGGGTTGACCTCTGCAGCATAACCTTCCTTTAGCTGAACAGGGTTGAGAAGAGAGAATTCGCATGTGCTTTCAACCACTGAAGACCACATAAGTGGCTGGGTCTGCTAGGGTCTTTTGCAGATTTTGGCCCTTCTGCTCCCACTGTTTTGGGGAGTTATGCCATGTGGGAAGCAACTGGTTAGTAATCTGCCACCCTCCTTGCCATCTTGGGGGGAAGCCATGGGCTCTACCAGGTTTGAACCCCTAGAAGGATCACCAGAGGTAAGTCACTGTTGCTGCTTCTAATTTTCCAAGTTAAACGGAGGTCTGGAGGGATGGGCTGTTTTATTTCTTGGCTACGTGTGAGCATCTGACTGTTTGTGAAGGGAAGGGAAGTGGACATACAATGAGTGGTGAGTCATGAGATAGCCATGGGCTGGGAATTGAACCTTGGCGTCCTGACTCCCAACCCGGCAACACTGCTTCTGCGCTCTGCCTTTCTAGTGTCTTGTACACTGGTCTATGTCCCTAAATGTTTACTCTTTGCTGACTGCCAGAGCCCTAAGGAGCAAGAGAGATGACTTGGCAAGAAAGTCAAAAGTCAGCAATCCTCTGCGGCCCTTGGCCAAGTTTCTATTCCTGGCCACTTCCCCGCCCTCGCAGTGGTTGACATAACCCAAGCCCGAGCCCCAGCTCCGCCCCAAGTAGGTGCGAGGCCCCTCCTATAGCCCTGAATGTTTTAAAACCAAACTGGGTTCTCCCCGATTGGTTCTGCTTCAAAACAAAGAGGAGGGGTAACACTCGCTTCGTGGATCCTGGTAGCCCTCAGGTAGCAAGGCTGGTTTTATGGGTTTGGGCCTCGTGTCGGGGCTACCGCGGTGTCTTGGGCTGCTAAAACCAGCCCCCGGAGGGTGCCGGCCTGGTAATAAAGCAGTGACTGCTGTGTAAAGGTGGCATAATCATCGTAACAATAACAGCCATAATTAGGCTAGCCATCATCCGCCTCCGCCCTGGCATTCGCCCTGACTCACCCCGACGGCACGTCGAACATCGGGGAAGAAACTGAGGCAGGGCTGGAGCCAGCAGGCTGGAGGGACCAGCCGCCGTGAATTTGCAACTCTCCAGGTCTAAAACCTGTTGCCTGGGATCGCGTTAAGGAACCAAACCCAGGAGAGCCCTCAATGCTTGATTCCGAAGTAAGCCCTCCGGTGACCCCCCACCCCCACCCTGAAGCCTTCTTAGCCTCCCGGAGCGCGGAGACTGAGAGCTAGACTACAGCTCCCTGAGACCTTTGCGCGCAAAGGCGCGCTCCTTGTCTACGCCCCGAAGCCACCCGCGGCGGGTGCGCCGCGATGCCTCCTGTGAGTTGTAGGACAGCGCCGACCTCTTAGGAGGAAGATCCCAGGCTTGAGGACTCTATATCCCGTAGTGCATCGCGGCTGTTTCTGACGCGCCTAGAGCCAGGGAAGGGTGGGGGCGTGGCCTGAGCGGGGCCCCACCCCGCTCTCCCCTGGCTGGCCGGACGCGGCGGTGGCA